TCTGTTACGCTTGCCTACTGCAACTCAAATGCAAGCGCTCCTCTACAGCACAATTTTACAAAGAAACCATATGGCTTCACATGAGTTTGTGAGAATACTAAAATCTAGAATAGTTGATGTTTTCCAAAAACTTATTCTTTTTATTGCGATTAGGTCGCGACATAAATTCCCGTATTAACTGGCCGTCCTACCATATAAAGTAGTAGCCTACGCTATCCCTGTGGTCCTGATATGTAGGTCCGCAAAGTTTAAGAATGGTTCGAAAACAGAAATATAAATGGATAAACTATACAAAGTTAGCTGAAATTTGTTCAGTGAATAGAAGCTGATGGTGGAAATAATATCTTGAGGGCAATATTCTGATCTATTGCGTCGTGTGGGCTTGTGAGGTGAATCTTGCAATCGTTGCACTCATTCATCTGCTATCGTCACTCCAGCAGTTAATCTAGCAGAAATGGCAATTAACTCTTATATTTTTTACCTACATATTATATAAACTTGTTTTGGGAGTTGTATAGAAACATTAGCCTAGTGCTTTGATGCTAAGAAGTGAGTATGAAGAGTGAAGTTTCATAAGTGCACTTGCACCAACTTGAAATTGGACTAGAAACCTTTTATATCAATATCGATACGTTCTGTACCTTCCATTTTCACTCATAGAGTTACTAGATCCTGTTCTGAAACAATGCTAGATGTAGGGAAAAAGTCAGTGTATGTATATGCGTCTTCTTGATCAAATCGCGCAAAGAGTACAATCTTTGTTTAAGATTGTATCCGAAACAATAGAATCTTTGTGTAAAAGGGCTCAAGAAGTGTGCGCACATGCCCGTCACAATTTACGCCATGGACAACAAGGTGATCTTTTACAGCAATTTTTGATAGAACTTATTTCAAAAATTTCTCTGCAGAAGCATGTAATGATGATTATGCAAAGAAGCATGCGGACATCTACGCAACAACATTTGGCACTCGCTGTCACTCTTGCAAGGAAGACAAAGGGATCACACTTGTGAATATCTATCCTCGCGTAAGTCTTTATCTTTATCTTCAGATGCATGACCTACTTATACCAACACTCTAGTCGCAATCTGTTGACAACCGGTATAACCATACTCTTGGCACTTTTGGAGCGGCTGAGGGCGGATCGAAATTCTGCAATGATAAAGTTATGCATTATCTTTTCTTTTGGATGATAAATAAGAGAGAAATGGTTTAGAAGTGTTACGACAATGTGAAGGCTGGGTACAAGTTGTTTGACGGCGAAGCTCCTCGAAAGAGGGATTGGCTGTCGTTGCCATGTTGGCATATTGCTGAGGCTGCGTCTCGAGCTAAGGAAGAGAAGCAGAAGGTACACTCTTTTTTATTGCAAAACGCTGTTTGAAAAT